GCATGTAAAAATATTAGGCAGCTAGCATCAACTGACCTCGCATATTTCGCTGCATGATGGACATAGAAGTTTTCCTTTATGTAGTCGATACATGCCACCTGGACCTGATTTCAGGAAGGCATTGATCGCCACTGTACTTCCTTTAGCCCAACATGTTTTAAACGTTTGTGCGTTTGTATCTGCACCGTTTTCCAAAGCCCTCACCATTAGTCGACCACCGTGACATCGGTACTGAAATGATGACATACGCTACTTTTTCAAAACAGATGATTCATATTAATTCTTATTTAAATATTGCATAATGTTTTAACAGTATATATATCGTCTCTTGTATTTTATGCGAATGCTGTTTAATGTTACCCGCAAGGATCCAAGTAATCAATCAAATGTATTTAGCGAATCTTTAATGATCTTCGCTTCTCAGTCCATGGTTTAAGGCAACAACTGAAAAGGATGATGTCAAATTCTTTATTTACCAGCGTCATCCCATTATAGCTCTAATATAGGGAAGTTTGTGCTCAGAATTCGATGATCAATTTCATAATCGTGTCGCCTGACTTACGACACTCAGAATCAACGTTCGCGTTAAGAGACGTTCAGACGTTTCAATTGACGACCACTGTGGAAAGACACCAATGGGCTGTAGAACTTGTAATAATTCTGTTCAAGAACGGAGACCATAGGGAGTGATATTACAGTTATTGGGGCATCTTCTGAGTTTCCCAGGAAATACCTACGTGAAGATGTTAGAAGTTGATGTGGAACTGATGACTCTAAGGTACGAGAGGGGCCGTGTGGCTTTCGCGCAGGTCGAAGCGCCTCTGATCAGTTTTTCATCCTAAGTCAGATGGCTAAGAAATTTCGGGTGTTCGTTAGATTTTCATGTACTTCCTATATCTGGAGAACTCGCATGACCAGAATCCGGCAACAAACGATACGTGCGCCTGCATAGGTATGGGACCGATGACAAATGTTTATGAACCGTTCAATCATTCTAAGTTGATGGCTGGTCCTGCTTCAGAGTAAATCGCATTAAGTCAAGATATTTCAACATTTGCACTGGTCCCTGCCAACGCTGCATTCTGTTTCTTCTCCTGCTTGTGTTTTAAATAGGTATGCAGCCTGAATAACATCGTAGCTAACCGGTGGACTGGAAGCAGAGCCTTCAACTTGAATTCAGTAGGAATTGTGCAGAGCAGTGGCGACAGTTATTGGCAGTAGGGGATTAATTACGTTGTTCACAGTTGCTGATGTGGTACATATTTGCTTTGAATAAAGCCACATGTGTACTTGACGTGTCTGTTTCTCCTGCCTCTTGTAATCGGTTGCAACGTTGCAGGTTGGCCGTACGTAGGGTACTGAAAGCTAGCGTCATATTTGGCTCTCATACCATGAATCGAGAGAAAAAAGTAAATTAGTCAGGAATAGAATCGAGAAAAATTTAAAAGCAGTTTAAATAGTATTATTTACCCTTTGCTTTAGTCAACTTGAAATGTATGAGAACCCATCCAATAGCTGAAATAGGTAACATGAACATTCAGCTTACTTCGTAACAACCGCTTCCAGAGTGCTTTTGGTAAGATTTGTGGATAGTGTTCGTAAATGGTAAGAAGCTAGACGTGCACTGTATGGCTACGAAGCGGGATGCATGTTCGAAACACGTAGAACTGTTTCCGTACTTCTCAGCTCCATAGTTGTTTCCAGCAGCTAGCGAGTTATACATTTGAATTTTACCATGCTTTTTCATATGATTTAAAACATTACTTACAGATTTGGCTGGCTGCGTTGGTGCAAACGGTATCGCCTATCATTTGGCCCTTTTCATTCTTCAGAATTCCTCCCTTAAAACCAGCATTTACAAAGCATACGTCCGTTGCTCCGTATTAAGCTCCTACTCACCATCCAAATGGGACAGCCGTCAGACAATAAATTATTTACCACAATGAATTTGCCGAGCACTCGTCTACCGTCTTGTAACGTTACCACCAAGTCTTCGAAGTACTATGTAAATGTCAGAGGTTACGGATCATGCCAATCGTTAAAATATTTGTTCATTATATCACACTTTAGGATGCTCATACATGCTACAAAAACTGCGAGGAAGTACGCCGTTCAATTCACATTAGGCAGAAAGTTCCAAACTTAATAAGTATTAATCTTTGTATCATAGCTCAAAATTAATTGTTTTAAACATAATTATCATATGGATTTGTAGTGGTTAGGAATTGCTACAGGTATAAGAATATGCTCAAAATAGGCACATTATATGTAGGTCTCATGTGTATGCGTCTGCATGTGAAACAAAAGGATGTCATCTTCATCTAGTACGCAAGTTAATCGTAAAATTTTGTCCATAATTATGTTTTGAACCCGATTAGTGCCTTCCATGCTTGCATTCGAAGGGACAAACGCTAAATCCACCATAACAGTTTGTTTACATTTATGCTTACAGAAGCAGTGAAGCACGTGTAATGCAAAGTAACCTTGTAACGGTCGCTGAGTACCCTTGTTAATGGGTAACACAAGGTTGTTATTCGCAGCATTTTAGGTTTCTCACATAATGATCTTTTAACTTGCCGGTTATCAAAATCAAGCGTGATTCGGTCAGTGTAACATTCAGTTTTAGGAACAAAGTTGAATATTATACCTGATATTTCCGAAAAGCCATTTGTCTGTAAGGTCTTCTGCTAACCCATGAACAAGCAGTCAAACTGCGTCGGTCTGCGCTGCATCGAGTTCTCAGAAATCCAGTGGCTTGCTGTAGAACATAATCCTGGAAATTGCAGTAAGGTGCTGCGGCAGTTGGTACTTTCCTGTAAGAGTTGCAAGCTTTTGATCATCAGCTCAATGGGCTACTCCTCCTGCACTTACGGTTGAAAGTCCATGTATTCTCGGCAGCTTGCGGTTGCAAAAAGACAGCCTTTAGAAGCGCCCCATGTCAAAGGTTCCAACATGCGTTCATCGATCATATACCACCTAAATAATAAACAATTTTATGACCTCACTTCAAATTCTTACCGTGTTCGAAACTCACCCTGAATCCTTCAGGAGAGCCCCAGTAATCTGTGAGAAAATCGCATTTCTGCTTAGTTCGCCTGTCATTATCTCGGGCTAAATTGTAAACATGATCACTGGAACTACAGCAAACAATGTACGAGAGTGGTTGAAACTACACAACTTATGCCCTGGAAGCGCATTATACAATTTTCTACAGAAATTCTCCACTCTCCATAGAATCACTTGTCCGTCCCTTATGACAAACCCGTCCAATCTGCTTTAGCAGCTGCAGTTTGTAATTTTTCAACCGTCCATCGTAGATTTAATTTCTTTATTATTCGGCTGCCTGCACTAGTTTTCTCGACGAAATTGGAGATGGATGCTATTCGTTTTCTTAAGATATTCTAAAGTTCCACATATGATTCTCGATTTTTTATCTGTTGCTGTCTTTATTTCTGTTAATTTTTTCATAAGTTCTTTTGTTCCCGTCGAGATTTTCCGGAAGATCTTCGTTGTCCTTGTTCTGACTGTTTGTGTATTCTGCAACTGTTTTCGTTATATTTTGATACATTACTTTGATGCCCACTGATCCTCTTGCATTTCGTCAAAGATGTCGAATGTATCATTTAATTTGAGTTAGAATAGTGGGAGATTCATTTTAATTATTTTCACATCAGGTTCCTTGCTCTGGCCCTCAGCAATTTCGTTCTTCCCGAAGCGGAGTCCAGGGGCAATTTCAATCTAATGAACCTATAAGCATTTTCTACATTAGACCTATTCAGGACCGTGACGTTCTGCGCCGTATTTTTTATGTTAATGAGGACGAAATCGATTTCATTCATGACGTCGTTGAACGCTTCTATGTCAGTTTTTGCTTGGTTTTTCTGAAAGTATGTGTTCATAATACTGTGTACTTTTCAGCAAACTCTGCCAGTCGATCGAACCTGTGGTTCTTTTTACTATAGCCAAATGGCTGCACAGGATTTGTAACCTTTTTGCGGTTCGACTTTTGGCCTTTGTGTTGAAATCTTTAATGAGGAATCTGCAGTTACTCTTTCCATTTTCATGCACTTCTTCTGCTTCTTCATCAAAATTGCTTGATGTTGGCGCATACATTTGGATCACTGTGAGTTCATATCCTTCTCAGACTCTAAGAATCAATCTTGCACGCTTTTATGAGATGATGTCATCTTGTAGTGAATTGTTTCTTAACCTTGATATGGATAATTAACTCTTAACCCATGCGGTACTTCTACTTGCTGATCTTCTGCAGAACAGGAGGTATAAACTGTTCAGCCCTTGAAGCACCTTTCGCCTAACTTCGCTAAGTCTTACACCGTCCCACTTCATTTTCCCTAGTTCTACTTCCAGCTCTTGAACCTTGCTTCACCTGAAAGTGATTTGCAGTAATACGTTTCCAGTTAGTAAATCGTAGATACTCTCTGATCCATAAACCAGTTATTCTTACCACCACCTGTACTCATGCCTCATCAGCTGCTGCTTTCGCCGGCAGCAGTCCAGCTTGTTGGGAATGAGAGAATATGAATTATGAGAATATGACTTCATCTTGGCAGATGCGTTCACAATTGATCACGCTTGCCAGGTGATGAGTATTGTGTTGCCTCTTCAACTTCGCCGGATGTGTTTCTCACGCTTTCACAGCGCGGTAGAACCTGCTGGGGCCTTGAGGCTTGGCTGTATATCGTCCTGAGAGCCTGTTGCTACTCTCCTACCCTCTTATGAGGGGGTGGAGCATCTCATACGCACATGAAGAAGTCGAATGTCGAAGCGGCTGAACCCGCAGTAGGCCTGATTGGCGGACTTCTAGAGTAACAATGCGGGATATCTCCTAATTCCGGAAGTTGTGCAAAATTAATTTAGTTTCAGATCATCTGCAAGCGTCTGATACACGACCGATAAATTCATAATTTGGCCTGAGTTTTGAAACGCTGAACTTACGCTACCCCAAAAAGCCGCTTCTCCCAATGAACGTTACTCGTACCGGGACCACCGTCGTTTTCCAACTGAGCACCTTCCAGGGTTCCGCAATTGAAATGTGTTCGGACCGCTTCCTGTTTAACGAAATTTATTGGTTGAAAATTGTTCAGGTAAGTTCAAGAATTTTTTGCTAATATACCAAAACGTGAGGGCTGTTGATGACGTACACCTTTAGGGTGATAGTTTTCCTTGATGAGATAATCCATTTCCGACGAACCTGTCTGACGAAACCCAAATGCCTGCAAAGCGGTTGCTGAAAAATACACAAAGCAGCTGAATCCACCTCGACTTACGGGAAACGACTTCCAGGCGGACTGAGAGGCAGCAACGAATGTGGGTCTATAAAATGTTCCAGCACTTCTCTAGAGAATGCCTGCGAGAAACGGTTCATAATTTAGACAAGAAATAACATGCTGTAACAAATGACAAATCACAATATGCATAAATTCCTCGTACATCAGTCAAACCTAGCATAGTTTCGTATAAACTTTCGAAGCACCTGTGTTATGTGAAACAGGAGATTACAAAGATGCTTACTTGATATTACTCATCACATGCCGTGAAAAGAGAGCATTCTACCGTGCATGCACAGACTTACATGAAACCAAAAATTCGACTGAATGGTTTGGGCTATCTTAACTGCTTTCGCTAGACTGGCCTGAATAATGATTGAGTGTTAAATGGACATTTAGAGCAAATAATGAGTGCTCGAACCACACCATCTAATCACTAAGTGATTATTCAGATATAAAGTGACTTTGGACAGTGCGGGAATTAATTTCTATTTATATCGATAGGGGCGGGTTGCTGAAATGGACCATAGCATATGTACAGTACTGGAATGGGACTGTGGTGCCTAGGAAAATCAATCTTGCTCCATCGAGCTTTCAGTGACAGCGTTTGCTTCTCACAAGAGCAGAGTTTGTCACTGGTTTTTGACTCTTCACTAATTCACTTAACTTAATCTAACAAGATAAGTCCATTTAATCGTTCAACTAATCTTTAATTATAATCTGAATGAACTGGTTTACTCACCAGCATATGCATAATTTCGTGCTTAAAAAGAGTGGCCGTACTTGGAGCATTCCAATCTTCCGTGACAATCCCTCTAATGTTGACATACAGTATTCCAGCTGTTGGTCTAGAAAGAAATAATTGTAATAGTATAAAAGTGATGTTAGAGAACATAGGCTGCATTAGAATTTTATAATATTTGTTCTACGGACAGCCAATATTTTGATCATGCCAGTATCTATCGTTAACAGAACTTCCATAACAAAACAGAATCGGCAAACAAATACGGGTAAAGTAGAGGCTGTAAATGAAGCAACCATAGGAGCAATCGAACAGTGCAAGCACAAAGGAGAAGCCCTTGCGATTCAATATGAAGAATGGATAAACAAAAACTTATGCATGGAGCTAAGTATAAGTCATATTAAAATGGAACGGCTTGAGAGTGGAGCGAGTACCTGCGTGGTTATTTTATTGTATGATTCATGACTAACTCCGGCATCTGATAACTGCATTGCTTGTCCATAATAAAGTCGATTTTCAGGTATTTTTCAACAGCAAAACAATCTTTAAATAATAAGTTAATCAATAATCGGTAAAAATTAATAAAAATAAAATTGCTTAAAATCAGAAGGAAAATGCCAATAATGTTTAAATGTAGTCAGTATCGCTAACTGATGGCCAGTAAACAAAGGACATGACTATGGCATGTTTTAATGGGCGATTTCATGTAAGATTCAGAAATGCATGATCCAGGAGTTTCTGTTGTCAATAATCGGCTATGCCGAGTTAAATGGAAATCTTAAGGGTGAGTGTCATGACTACCTGCCATCGATTCTGCTTGCGCTGGAACACGGATGTGTGATGGCAAGGACTCGACCGCGGTTGGGAATCGAAATGGAGGTTACTGTAATGTACAGTGCAAAATCTGCGTTTATAACTCCGCCCCCATGTAAAATGACCTGCAACATGAGCCGCATCAGTTGAATTTACAATACCGTACTTACGTGTTCTGGATAATCCATGCCAGCAGAGCCACAGGTCCTTTCGCTGAAAAATATTTCTTTTTGAAAATTTCATTCATACTAATAGTTATTACCTTACTAAGTAAATGGGTTCGGTTAATCGTCGCACGTACAAAAATTTGTGAAAGAAGTTCAAGGCTTCTGTGAGAGCGGTCTAAGCGAACATCAGACATTAGTTTAACCGTAGCTTATGAAATTACACAATGGTACCATCAGAAAACGACCCTTTTGTCCAGTAAATGAGCTAAAATGGCTTATTTGTTTGGTTAACTTTACTTGCTAGCCTAACTTACAAATTGAAGGAGCTGGTGTAGAACTCTCGTATGCGAATAGGTTGGAACTCTGGTTTCTTCTAAATAAAAATGAGTGTCAATGTGTATATCAGCAGAGACAGATTTTAGTATTTTACAAGTACAGATGACACCGCTTGCGTATTGAATGACATGATGGAAGTTCAGAAAATATCAAGAAATTAACGGGAAGAGTTGGAAGAATGATTTGACAGGGTAGCTTGCCATTTCTTGAAATGATTTCATGAAGCGAATTTCTGGGCCTTAACTTTGGTGCGGGAGTCGGTTATGGTTAAGTGATTATCATAACCAAATATAGAGTTGCTGAATTAAAGTGCAGTGTAGAATATAACTATGTGAAACCGTAACATAATTATTCGAACTATAAATTATGACTGACTCACTGAAACAGAACTCTTGGTTTGGATGCATTTGGGCTTTTTCACTTATTTATAAAACGTCTTCTGCTTCATATAAATAAAGTTTCAGCGGTCCGATCAGAACGAGTAACGCCAAAGCTTAGTGTGGATACGCCAGAACGAAGTAAGGAAGGCCATTTTGTAGCAGTGTTGAGCACTTGTCGTTAATCAGCCACTCTGGAAATTCCAGTTAAAACTGTAGGAGCTTCAGCTTTTCAGTACAAAATGAAAGAATAAAACTTTCTGCAGCTCGCAAGGTAACTCTACTCAAAGAAAATAGTTCGAATTTTGCTCATTCCTAACTTTCTAATAGAAAGTAAAATATTCGTGACAGTGATTATTAACAGCATTTATTGAAACTAGCAATCAGTGGTGTTTTTCTGTATTTTCTGTCTTACACAAAATTAAGTTACATATGCGACAAAATTATAAATTATCATGAAATATATGATTTGTACTGATGATGCAGATTTATTTGCTGCTTTATCCTACATACCCACAGGCTCATATATTTCATATTCATTGTATTCACATAATGGAAGGTCGATGTGTTAATGGAAGATTGCGCATCAGGGAAAGTTTCTAGCATATGATTATGATTTATATATTAAGACAGTCACTTGTCGCTACAGCCGAAATGGCTAGCTAACGAGAAAGGTTGGTGAAGAACCGATATGGCACTGAGAGTGCGGAAATCTAGTTACTGGCGGCAATGTTAACTCTATTAAAGCACTTACTGAACAGAAGAGTAAATCAGGAAAAAAGTGAAATATTGTGAAAAGTACAAAGTATCTTGAAATGAGGAATCCCATTATTCACTTGAAGAGTTGTACGAATGGAAATGTAACAGAATACTATAAATCGATTGCGAAGTTTTAGAGAACGTAATTTAGTAGGCCCCAGCTAGTCTGGAAAAAATGGGTTCCATATTGTTTAATGCTACGTTAAATCATATCTAAATGGAACATTTACGTTACAACGACACGCCTTTTTAAACACCGTAATTTACTGTTAAATCGATGGAGTATCCAATATTGGTAGGAATATTTTATTCGCTAAAATGGATTGCTTGCGATACTAAAAACTCAACGCCCTTTCGTTGCAACAAACGTCATCACGAAAGGTCGTACCAATTGTGAAGGGAGAGCATCGATCAAAGTATGTAATCACATGACAAGGCGAGATGCAGTGGAGGGCACAGTCGTGAAACGGAATGGTCTAATTAGCAATGGCAAGTGAAGTTTGAAGAGCATTTCTCCATGGCCACAGTTCACTGAAAAAATTCGAAGGATGCCTTTACTAGCAATATGGATGAAACGATCTGAGATGGAGGGGAAAACCGTATTCTTCCATGAAATATTTTGTTTTACAGTCTATGCAATGCTTAGGAAATGACCGCTCATAGCCAAGATGGATAAAAAATTCTGACGAAGTTTTCTGTTTGCTAAAGTGCCCGCAAACAAGAATAATTACATGTGATATAGGATAACAGCACTGCTCAAACTTGTATATCAATTTGGAATCCATCTGAAAGGCCATGGCAATTACATTGTTACCGTAAGTCTGATGAAATCAAGCATTTTCTATAAGTGGAGCGAATCTCCCGGTGCGAAATGTAACAGTTGTAGTTGCTCCAAAAAAGCAGTAACATCTTTACTGGCAGAACACGCTGTCTACTGTGTGCTTAATGCATCTGTTATGCAATATTTCACTATACAGCATGTTGCCAAGTTCTGCGTGGTGAAAAATAGACTGGCTGACATTTACAGTTGAGTCCAGCTTTTATTGCATACAAATTATTGCGTCTTGGCGGCCTTTAAAGTTGGTAGCGGATTTAACGAGTCAAAGTATTGTTTCACATTAAGAAGTATAATGATGTCGGTTTGAAATGGTGAAATACGTACTGTATAAAGAAAAAAAGTCAATTCCTCATTTTACACCAGCAATACTATTACACCGCTATCTTGATTCTAGTTACCCACAGAGGGGGCATTTAAGCAGGTCACTTCTCCATGTTGTATATTGGACGTAGGATCGTGTCTCAAACTTGGATTGAACAAAGATATATTCAGCCAAACAAGAATGCTACTATCTGTGGGCGAATGAGTGACAAAACGCATCCACAATGTTCCGGGGAAAACTTTCGACACCGCGGTTGAGTGGATCATGCCAGATTTTCGTAATAGCAATCCAGTACCATTATTACTTTTCGTGTAATATATTCAACGACGGTATCGAAAGCACTCCCAGAACACTGGAGTAATATTTTGTTACTAAAGTGTTTTATCGTCAGCAATACGTCAATCTGTACATTTGAATCTGAGTTATTTTTATAATTTTTCCCATTGGTAATGACATTTCTTCGGAAATATTTTCATTGAAAAGTGCTTGATATCACTGCTTTGTTATCAGTCTTTTGTTAAATTCGGAGTTGCAAAAATCGTTAACTGGATAAGCCCGCATAACGATCTTCCTTAATCCATACTCTCGGAATGCATGACATTTCAGATCTCATTTGACTAATCTTCAGAAAACGATATCATGCATAACAGGGTGACGACACAATTTGAAGGCTACAATTGGAGTTATGCACTCTGTTCTCTGTTCACAATATAGTTGCTACTTCGTGTCATCTTGCGAAGGATTATCGCAACTTGAATTTGATATTCTCTCGAAAACCAGTGCTTATTTGTCATAAAACGCACCGGAATGCCTTGTGGGTCCTTCTATCAATGGACTTTCCATGTTTAAGAGTAACTTTTGATAATTTAACGTTTGGTCAACGTGGATTCGAATCGCCTTGTCGAGCGTAGCTGGTCGGCGGAAGAATCATTAAAACGGTGTATGAGCGCTGCTTGTGTGTCATGTCCGATGTATGTATACTTCGTCTGCGCTGGAGGTGTTGCACTGCTCCGCATGTAATTGACAGTCTGATAACGCGCTGAGTACTCTGGAATTTATTATGAACATTTGCCTTAAATACAAATAAATTAATTTTTTGTCAAAAACTGAACATATACTATTTTAATAAAAGATTAACAAGATACGAGTACCGGCACCTTTTTTCTCACAAAACGCAGTTCGTAAAGCTATTCGTAAATTATTTCCTATAATAAAAACAGTAAACATCACTTCACACACATGGTAAACAGAGAAAGAGAGGTGCGCAACCAATACATTCTGATTCTAACGGAGAAAATGTGCTATGGATTCGTAGGTTGCCTTGCGCGTTGGAACGAGGGTTAAAACGCAGGGTGCGGCGTGAATTTGTCATTGCTATTTCTTATGAATTTATTTTTAACTGTTAATTCCATAGAGAGAAATACAAACGTAAATTAAAAAGGAAAATAAGCTGCTTTGTGATGGAGCCGCCTCATCTTCATTCAAACAGATATTCATTATAACGAGCGTGGTTTATTGAAATGCAGGGTGTCACAGTGATTGGCTGAAATTGGAGATCTTACTTGCAATTAGCTCAAAATCAACAGTGATTCGTAAATGCAACCATTTGAAATCTGGTCTTGCAAAGATTATGCGTTATTTAAGGCGTCTTTGTGATAAAAAAATTATTTGGAAATATGTATGGTTGAACCGAAAGATTGTGTTTTAAGGTTATTATCGGACAAATACTTTTTGTTACGAGTAGGGATTTTTAGAAGTTTCTTTCTGACAATAAGATTGAATGTTAAGCGGTAAATTATCAGCTGAAATTTGTATTATAATGTTTGGTTACCGTTGAATACATAAAATATGGTTTTAAGATGAACTGTTATGATAGAATCCTGTATCAAACTCCTGGCTAGATTCTTATCCTGGTATCACTATGGTTTGTTGTTTTGTTGGGCTCACGTGTAGGAATATACATACTTACGCTGACTTTATCGAAATGCGACTTCCAGGCGTAGATTAGTTTGTTGGCAAAAGTTAGATGCTTATACGCGTGACGTGATTTCATGAAGTAGGCGGTCGATAGAGCATTTGCGTTTATATGTCTGACTGCGAATTTCTTGTTTTTTGGCATTGATGCAAATTGCTAACGTTTATGGCTGAAGATAGGAAAGAAGAAGAGGCTGGCCATTGCGCAGGGCAACTACTGCTGAAGTGTTGAAAATGAGTCGTGTTGTTTAGGTTCCACAGACAATGGGTGTGTTAAGTTGTTGAACCTTCGCATTGTTTTTTTAAAAACTTACTCAATGCTTATAATGATTCATGGTGATTCATGGCATGCAGTATGCCTTTCATACGATAAATTTTTCGTACGTATGACTTGCAGAGTTTTCTTTCTTGGTCG